GCCTTGGCTCGCGTCTGCTCTGGGCCCCGTTGGTTCTAATGTTCCCTCAGGTTCTCAAGGCCGCACGGTTCGCCTTACACACTATTGTCTGCAGCTGAAGAAATGATTGTTTTAAGCCTCCTGCTGTTGATAAGCATCTTTCTAGACCCGGTTTACTCCCCGTGGAGGGAAACAGTCAACAAAGTGCCCCCTGTTTTCAATGAGGGCAGAAAGCAGGGTGGCCGCCCCGACTGTAGCAACTGCCCGCCTTTCCCACCAGGTCTGGGGAACATGAGAGAACTGAGATTAGTCCTGTTTTTTTTTTCTTCTTCCAGCTACCCTTAGAAGAAACATGAGCATAAAATTCAAGGTCAGTTCAGTAGCCATTGTATATATGCTTATAAAACGGGGACAAACGTACTCTTCCAAACCTAAAAACTCACCTCTGTTTCTTAACGAAATAAAGCAAAAACAATGACAACCCAAACCCTCTCACTGACTGCACCTCAGGGTGGAATCGAGAATGTGCCCTTTGTTAGTCTGGATTCATTCAGAATAGAAGGCCCCAGTGAATTGCCTCGAGTGAAAATGATCCCATGAAAAAAGGAAAATCACCACTTTCCCTTCAAAACCACCTGAGATGAGAGGTCAGACTCCCAAGGGATCCCTTTGCCAGATAAACACACTAAATTGGAAGGTGAAGGCACAATCTAGCTGATTGTGGAACCCACCTGTCGCTGTGAATCAGCACCTTCTGCTTCAGGGTTTCCAAATGAAACTCTGAAATACACGTTCCAGTGCTGAAAATTTAGCGAAATCACAGTGGCCGCTCCCTGTGGCTTTATGGCCCTGTCACTAAACCAGGGAGGACGCTTCACAGCCAGGTTAGACGTCTTCTGTTTCAGCAGGAAAGAATCGAATTGCCTAAATAAAGCTGGGGGGTGGGGGTGCGGATAGGACAGAGGTGATTAAAATCTTTACAGTTGATGTTAGGGCTTTAACATACATGAACCGAAACAAAAGTCGAACACAACCAGAAACACCTCACAACGAGGCTTCTTCTCCTACAGTCTGTTCAGGGGATGAAGCCCAGGTGGCGGAGCGTTTGTCACACAGTAACAATGCAGGTCTCCCCAGGGCACCACGTCACAACAGCCACCGAGACTGGTCCTGGGAGGAGTTCCAATCGCTGTAACTACTGCAGGCTGAAGCTTCGTCTGGTTACTTGGAAGCAGTCTCTGCAACAACATTGCTCTCACCCACCTGCATTTCTGTTTTCCTGGGTGGATGGGACAGGGTGAGTCACAGGTGGGCTGCAGAGAAGCATGACCACTGAGAAGTACCTATAATTTCCATTATATGTATGAGAGAAGAGGGATGCAGGAATCACGTGTCAGCCCTCCCCCAGGAGCCGGAAGGAGCTGTGAATTCGCAGCGAGTCCCTGTCATGGGGGGGATGACGGGTTATCCCTTCAGATGACTGATGGCTCACATGTCCCCACGGCATGAGCTCCTAGAGGGAAGCGAGCCACTCCGAGAATGGCTCTCCCGAGGGCTGTGACACCATTCCACTCCACTGCCCACCCCTCCCCACATCCTCAGAGAAGTAAAATAATAAGCTGATTCATCCTAGAGTTAAAATTAGTCTCCTGTTGGGTGGCCACAGCCAGACTCCCCCCATTTAACTTCCGACAACAGAGTCAGGCCCTTTGTCTCCATCAAAACCTCTGAGGTCACCTAGGAAAAATCAGGCACGTCTGAGAGCGGAAGAAACCACAGTCAGAAGGAGGTGAGGAACCCCCAAGCCTGCATCCAGGAGTTGAAGAAACTCAGAGGGCCCGTGGCCAGCTCCCTGTGACGGCTCCTTAGACTTGCTCACCGTGGGAGACCCGGCCCCGCTCCCTCCTTCAGTGGGGCCCAGCCGCCCTGAGAGGAAGTCTGAGCCGCTGATGAACACGCCTGAGGAATCCATTCCTCACGCCCAAGGGCTTCAGCAACCGGAAGGGAGCAGAAAGAAGCCAAGAGCACAAGAAATCTCCCCTCACAGTAAAGAGTGAACAAACCCTGCAGGTCACTGAGAGCCTTTCCCTCCCTGCATGCCCCCTCTTGGGGCTGCTCTAGGACAGGGGACCTGGACGGCTCGGAAGAAGCGATGGGGGTATTTCTAGTACAAGCCTACACTGCCCAGGGCACGAACTGCTGTTGGCCAACCTAGTGGCCCCAAATTGCCGAGGCTGCTATGGAATCCAGCCAGGAAACAGGAACGCCATCCTGACACGACGGCGTACAGGATGACGGACACACGGACGAAACCACGCCAGCAGACTGCCGCGCCACGGGCAGCGAGGGTGACCCACGGCCAGGCTCCTGCACAAGCTGGGTCTGGCCCCTCTCACTGCCCACAGGAACGTCAAACATGTCACACATCACATGGGAAGCTCTTAGTTTTTTAAAGTGATGAATCGATCTGAAAACTGACAGGCTCAACTCCGCTCACAAAACACCTCATTTTTAGGCAAGAAAGCAGCTGGATGAGCTTTGGTTTGAGTCCACATTTAGCCATCTAAAAAGGACAGGGTAAAAGACAACAAGATAACAACCTGGTCCTCCTGTGGGCTTTCTGGGGTGGGTACCACAAACTCTGGAAGCCAAGTCAGGAGGAGGCCTCAGAGAATAGAGACCAAGAGAGATGACGCTCCACAGCCTCTGTCTCTGCTCCATTGGCGGTGGGAGCTGGACACCAGCAGCTTCTACGTGGAACAAAGGTCTCGGCTAAGAGGTTCTGCAGGAGTCAGGGAAGCCAGAGTCCATCGGGGAGAAAAGGTTCCCCCAACACACCCTTTTTCTAAGATACAAGCAGCAAGGTTTCATCCAGACTTGGGTCTCAACTCTTATCTCTATTTATATATGAAACTGGAGTCTCATTTTTGGGGGGTTTTTTGGTGAGGAAGATTAGCCCTGACCTAGCATCTGCCGCCAATCCTTCTCTTTTTGCTGAGGAAGACTGGCCCTGAGCTAACATCCATGCCCATCTTCTTCTATTTTGTATGCGGGACACCTTCCACAGCATGGCTGGATGAGTGGTGCTCAGGTCTGCGCCCATGATCCGAACACGGGAACCGCGTCTGCCGAAGTGGAGCATGCAAACTTAACCGTTGCACCACCGGCTGACCCCCAGAGCCTCACTTTTTAAGTAGTAAATCTCCCTGGAAGTCGGGAGATGAGATGAGAAACACACTGCCAGCAGCAGAGCCAGTGCTGCCCACCAGCCTTCTGGGTCCCCAGGTGGTAATGAGAAACCGTCTTGCCAAAAAATAAGTAATTGCTGATTACTTCTAACCAAATAATAACGCCCTGGGTACTGAAAAGAGCTGGAGAAAGGCGATACTAGACCTAAAAGTGTTTTCCCAACGACATAAGTGCACCCTGTGCGCTGAGACACACTTCTCCATTCTCGCGTGGAGAAGTGACTCCTGTACACTCCACATTGCTCAGGGTTAGGAAACAGACTTCACGTCATAAAAGGACGCCTTCCTGACAGCAGGATAAATACCGCAAACGCCCCAGCAACTGAAGTTTGCAAAGTGCTTGCCTCCCTGCAATTGTGTACGCAACATTTTTGTGCCTGCGAGCATATGTGTTTTACGGGGGAAAGGGGCCTGTCTGCATTCTCAAAGGGACCCAGGAAAGGGTCTGCAGCTGGCTGAACCCAGATGGGAAGCAGCCTGTGGCCAGGCCAACTGGCCGGGTGATTCCAGGCAGTGTCCTCCTCTCTATTCTCACCGCCTCTCCTGTTCCCAGCCGGCCCCTCTCGCCCACACTGCTCTCACACCAGTGTGGTTTCTCTCTCTCCGTTCTCCAGCGGGGCTTCCTCCATCTCTCCTCACTGCATTTCTGCACAGCTCCTTCACTCCTATTGTGAGGACATGTCCTGCTGGTCTTAAAAAAATGGTGCAGACTTCTGATGCGCAGACCAGTCATGCGACTTCTAAACGACAGTGCTTATGGCTGCTTATATCTGCCCAACTCTTGGGCTCTTTCCAGTTACCTTTGGGTTTGTGGGTATTGCTGAAAGCTGAAGATGCGAGATGTCTGACTGCGGGGGATCTCACTGGAGCAAGCTTCCTATAGGTCTCAGCAAGCTGAATGTGGAAGTCAGATGGTGATGAACACACCCCCAAATCGACCTACAAGCTACAGACTATTTTGAGAAAGTTGAGCCACTTTGTCTCTTTTCCAGTTTATATTAGCATCTGAAATATTTGCATCCCCAGTCTGAGCAGGGATTTGCAAGAAATATTTAGAGCTTGCTCAGCATGGCATTTTCAATCACGTTCTATAAATGGGATGCTGGTAAACGAGCCATGAAGAAAAGACACAGAAAATGTTACTGCTTCTCCTTTATTGGTAAATCATGGCGACGTGTAAAACGACAAGAAAGGAGATGAGGGAGGCAGCGAGTCTCTGATTGCTGGAGAGCAAGACGCGCCTGGGTGTGGCGGGACCAGTAGGAAGAACCTGGCAACGCTGAGCACTGGGCCAAGAATGAGTTTTAAAGCTTCTTTACTCCACAGAAGGTAAGATACCGGCTCTCAAAGTGTCTACACACGGCTTTCATTCCCTACCTGTCCTGGATGCTGTGGTAGAGTCTGGGGGCAGGGAGCTGGTTAGTTTTTTACCTAACTAAAAACGACAGTGCCCAGGGGAGAGATGTATTCCAATGAAGGGCTAGAAGTGGCAGATCCCAGATAGTATGAAAATAATGGAATTCAAAAATGTATAACCATAAAGCACGCACAGAAATGTCAGCTCTCCAAAAGTTGAAGCAGAGGTGAAAACATTCAAACAACAGAAGAAGTAGCCGTACACATCCACAAGGCAAGTAATAAGATTGGCAAGTAGTTGGCAACCGAGAAAAGCCGTAAACGCCCTCAGTTCTTCTGTCTTGGCGTCATAGCAATGCGGGCATCCGTCGGGATCCATGCCTGTGGCCCAGTAGACATACCTGCCCCAGTTCTTACCTCATCGTGGTCACTGGTGGGGACGTGTGAAGGCCGAGCCTCTTCACCTAGTGGCTCGATCACTGTCACCTCCGCAAACTCCTCCACGGACTCTTGGAACTCAGGTAAGGACCTTCGTCCATACCGCTTCCCACCTCTAACGTATTTGGGCTGAGCTTCTAGGGAGCAGTCTGGGGAAGGAGACAAAAGTTGAGGCCACATTACATGACAGTCGCAGCCCCCGGCTGACACGCACAGCCTTCAGACACAGCCTCTTATACCAGCCCCAAAATAAACCACCACCGTTCGCCAGTTGGGGTGGATGTGGGCGTAGACGAGCCACCAGGTCAGATGTAGGGCGCAGCTTCTAATTCCACACGATTAACAGCGCTCGAGCATCTCCTGCATGTGATGGGAGTGCAAGGCCGGCAGGGAGGGAATGACTCAAAATGATTCAGATCAGGACAGAGCAAGGGGCCATGTTTGTTCTGTGTATGAAGCGGAGAAAGGGAGAGGGCGTGATCATACTAACAAGGGAGGAAGTCTTGAAGAATGATGATAGAAAGAGCACCACATCAGCGCTGCAAAGTCTAGTCTGAAACACACCCCTCTCGTACCTCAGTGACTCCTTGTTCACCATCCACTGTCTGATGCCTCAGACAAGCAGGATGGCAGAACAAAGAAACTGACACAGCGGATCCTAATCAATTAATGACAGCTCATCGCTTATATGAAACCTGGCATCAAGATCTTATTATAAAATTAAAGCTGTGGAATAAAATAGTAAATGCGAAACTGCATTAAGAAAAATGGTATATTATGTTCTTTTCTCTTCATGAGCTTCAGTGCTGTACCAAATAAAAAGGAACGTGCATAATGGGAGAGTCATCTCGTAACTTAAAGAAGGACTTCAGCATTCTGATGGAACATGGCTCAGGTTCGACATTCGCCACCTTCACCACCACCACCACCATCTCCACCACCGTTTCAACCACCACCACCACCACCACCACCACCACCAGACACTAGCCCTTCTCTACATGGAGAGCTTTAAAGCAATAAAATAAATACTTCACCCTATGCAAAGTCAGTTAAATATAGATTTTTTAGCACCTTGCAAAGAATTAGAATAAAATACTCCATTAAAATACAAAAGACTGGCAATGCTTTGACTTCAGTTCTTCTCGCCCACACAGACACCCCGTCTCTGTGGAGAACATGATGTGTGTTCTGTTTGAACATGATGGTCTTAACAAGATATGTCTGAACTCAGACACGTAGACAGCAGATGAGGTGTGCACACATGTCATCTAGACGAGGAGGGCTGATGAGATAATAACTGAAAGGACAAAACCCTTCCTTTGTCACCACTGACACCAGGTCAGCTTTCCCTGGAGGACCGGAGACCCTGTTGACTAACTCTGCCCTCCACGCCCTCCCACACCCTTCCTCCGGTGTAAGCTCAGATTTCACAGATGTGGTCAGAAGCATTCTGAAAATGCTCACCGAAGCTCAGAGTGAAGTATTTATGCTTGCTCTAGGATTTATAGCGATATTTATATCCAGCTTTTTAAATGTCCCAGTTCAAGTCATTTCATCAGCTCAAGCGATTCTCTCCGGGGAGTGTTCACGCATGCAAAATTTATATTGAAAACAGCATGCATATTTGAAGGTACCTTTCATCAGGAGAGAGCATGTCAGCTTGTGAGTACTCAGGAGCGGCCCGGACACCCGAGCTCCTTGTTGGCAGCTGACACCCACAGATGCTAGTCAGATAAGAGGCAATGCAGAACCATCCTTAACTCGTATGTATTCTTACATTTTAGAGGCAGACAACAAGATACACCATTAGTGACAATGGGGGCTTAGAAAAGTTTATAAGGAAAACGTGTAACACCAGGAAATGGAACACGGGGTTTTCCCAGTGTGAGAACAGCCTCGGTCCTGGGCATGGAAGTGGCAAAGCAGCTCTGAATGCGCGCTGCACCTTTTCAGAAGAGAAAACGCCATCAGACAAAGCAAACATCTTAAAAAACCCACTGTGATCTGACCCAAATCCCACCTGTGGGTGAAATTGTTCCCCAGTTATTTTCACTAACTACCCCATGCCGTTTCTGGTGGATCTGAAACAGCTCTTTCTCTAAGCAGTGGAGGGTAAGAGATGGGGAACAATTAGGGTTTTTGTTTTATTTATTGACATTTATTTTTGTGTTGCCAGGAAGTTTAAAAAATTTTTATTTTGTTATCTTTTATTATTATAACTAATTTTGAGCAAACTTCAACATCTTTCCCTGAACGTATATACATCACAAAGTCAATTTCTAGAGAAATCTGTTAAACAGTATTATCTTTTTGGAATAAAGATATTAGCACGCAAAAAGGAAAAACAGGGCATTAAGCTTCCTCATACTGAATTTCCCAAACCATCCATGTGATAAAGAATTAGACTAATCACACCAGTTAAAAAGTTACCTTTAGACTCATCCCTCTCCTGTTAGAGCATCACCTACATGATGAGAGGGAAAGAGAGACAGCACATGCGAGGAGGCCCAGAGAGAACATTCGCGGTCCCGGCCAACATCGGGTTAAGCATTTGAAAACTCTGCTCCTCCTGACCAGTCTCACTGAGGCCTTCCCAAGCGCACAGCGGCCCCTAAGCAGAAGGCAACTCAGGGATTTTAGGAGACTCTCACGCATGAAATCAAAGAACGTCTTACCCCTTGCTCACCACGCCCAACGCCCAACGCCCAACACCAACGCTCAACGAAGACTGGCAGAACCACAGCCCTGGGGCAAAGTTTACCGACTTTAGGAGCACATTTAGATGCAATTCACACATTTCAGGGCTTCATCCTGGAACAATTTTATCTACACCAGATAACGTGGGGCCATCTGATTTATCAAGAAATGAAATTATTTACACCACATAGCTTCCTTCATAAGTGTTCACAACCCTCCAATTGTGAGCTCCAGGAGAGATGTGAAATGCCAGTGCAACAGCAGAAAGGATGGCCGTGCCCTCAGGGCTTCACGTCCTTGAACATATATTGAGATTCCACCTGGATTGCCAAGCTTTAGAGTCATTTTCCCTTCTTTCCCATTTCCCCTATTTAGCCTCACCATGTAAAAATAAAAATGGGCTTTGAAGCGAAGCAGACAAGCCCAGCCTAAAGGAGTCTTGGACCCCATCCCTGGAGAGCCCATTACAAGTGGCACCCATCCCAGAGGTGGCTCTGAGGCAGTCCTACCTGACCAGGTTAGATGATCCAGGCTTTATTCCATAAACCAAACACATGGCTAAGAGTAGGGACAATCCCCTGAAGACTGCTGGAGAAATACGAAAGCAACTAACGGTCTCTACAGAGCAGGTGGACAAAAAAATCTAGTTGGGGTGTTCAGAAGATGAAAAAAATACCATTCCTTCCAGCCTTACAAGTTAAACAAAATCTGGATCCTCAGACACCACTTTCTTTACTCCGTATCTCTCATCTGTCCCAAGGAGAATCACTCCAGAGCTGTGACAACGTTCACCTTCCAGAGTCAGGATGAACCACATGCACATGCATGACTTGGGCCCAGAAGGTCTTGCAATTATAACAAAAAGAGCATAGAGTTACAATGTCAGTGAGAATGGCTGCTCTGAGGGCTTGAGCCGGCCGCAGGCAGGACAAACAACCTCCAGGCACCCCTCCTCCCTCCCAGCTCCCTGCCTTCCCCACCTCTAACCCACAGTACAGCACACACTCCTCACTCTCCTGGGACTGACCCGGCCCCTGTGTGATGCAGGCTGCCCCGCTGACGGCCAAAGGCAAAGCAACGGGACCAAGAGGAAGCTGAAACAGTTACCTGAAAGCCTGTATCAGTCAGTACTTTGTGAAAACACAAGCTTAGGGCCTGGAAGGAAGCAGCATCCACAACACACATGGGAAGTTAAAGTTAAAAGTGAGTCTCAGAGATGCACTCCAGTATCAGGCAGCTTCCTCTAACTCACATTTATGGAGCACCTGCCACGGGCAGGGCACTGTGTTGTACACATTGAGGGATAAGATGGATATGTTATCATTTTTTGAAAACATATTTTTTATGTTATCAAAGTATGTTTTACAAACGTCCTTGTTCCTAAAGATGACCTGAGGATATTTCCAGAAGAAAGAATCTAAAGAAGAAAGCCCTGCCCTCATGGCGCTGGTATTCTTATTTGGAATCGCTCATGCAGACCCTTGCTTTCTACTTCCCCTCCTGCCTCACTTGGTCAGCCTGAGAAATCATTGCCAAGACATCACCCCCTTCCACAGGGCCTCAGCACAGGCACAGGCGGCCCCCCCCCCCCCCCCAATTTCTGCTGAGCTCACAGGATTCTGGAAATCCACCTGAAAATAAGAAGTGCTCACCAAGGAAGCACGTGCAACCCTCAGGACAGGCACCAAGGAGCTGCCCCAGGTAAGGCAGCCACGCAGCAAATGAACACCACCAGCCCCATCACACATCCCACCTACTCACCTACTCTGACCACGCCACTACCCAGGGATCACACACTTAGAGCGCAAACCCTCACCTGACTGCAGATCAGAGAGAAGGGAATCAGAGGGCCGACCGAGACGGAAAGAGACCTAGAGTGACTGACAGAGACAGAGAGACAGAGAGACAGACATGGAGGGAGACAGAGATGGAGAGAGACAGTGACGAAGAGAGACAGGAAGAGAAAAAGAGAGTGAGAACAAGAAAGGTAGGGAAAGAGAGAGCAAGAGGTATGGGGAGACAAGAGGGGCAGAGACCAAGAGGCCCATGCAGGGAGGGGGAGCAGAAGGAACAGGACGGAGAGAGGACCCAGAAGCAGGGTCAAAGTGAGTAGTGGGGCTCCAAGGAGGAGAGGAGGGTGGAGGTGAGCCGGAGCAGTGGAAAGGAGAAATGGGTGAGGAGGGGACGGCTCGAGGAGGGAAGGGAGAAGAGAGGCCAAGAGAGAATGAGCCAGACAAAGACGACATCGGGCAAGCCTTTGCGCATTATCTGCCCTTCCCTCTGCCTCCAGTGGCTCCCGGCCTCTGGGGAAGGTCATCAGCAAGCAGGGCATCACCCCATGCTTCTGTGGGCACACAGCCCTTTCCAAGGCAGCTGCTTCTGGCCACTAGCCCGGCCTCCCCAGCTCCCCTCTCGACACAGATGTCCAACTGGAGCCTTGGGGTCGTCCTTGGATGCAACGACAGGATTTTAGGAGCAGCCTCCACATCCGTTCTTACCGATCTGAGTGATGCTTCTTGCTGGAACACAGGGGCGTCCGGTCACAGAGGTGATGGGGTAGCTGTGATTAGCCTTGCCTGGGAGGGAGGCTTCAAGGGGAATGGCAGCACCCTCAAGGGGGCCAGGGAGGTGGATGGTGTGGCTTGGTAATGCCCAGGGCTGACTGGTCTGACTAGATGGTCTGTCCAAACCCTGAGGCAGCTGAAGATCAGTCAGGAGGAAAAACTCTGAGTTGATAATGATTCTACGATTGTTCCCCATCCTCCTGGGAGGATGAGCCTGGTCCCTGTTAGGAGGCCAGGCCTCTGGAGCCATTTTGGGGAAGAAGGCAGAGATTCACATTTCACCTAACTGAACCCTCCCCATCGTTCAAGGCTCAACTCAAAACTCATTTCTTTCACATATCTTCTTGGCACAACTTTCACGGAACACTTTCTGCTATGAATTTAGTGCAACTCACACTGTTAATAGCTCCCAGCTTAACAATGATCATGGTCATATTTTCCTAAAAGCATTTTGCACGCTAGAATTACCTACCCGGCTGCACTCTGACGCTTTCCAGGGCCGCACAGCTTCATGGGAAGACCCAGGGCTTTGGTTCAAATGGACCTGGACCCTCGGTCCTTATCCGGGCGAGGAGTACTTAACATCACTAAGGCTAGTCCCCTCATCTAGGGGAGCTCCTGGAGCAAGGTCACTGTCCGTCAGGTACCTCCTACCCTGGAGGCTCCAGCCACAGCCTGTCCTGTCCTTCCACCCAGACTCCTGTGGGGCCAGCAAGGCAGGAAAGGCGCCCAGCATGGGGCCCCAGGGAGCAGAGCCAGGGCGAGTCTCCCAGCCCCCAATCCCGCAGCAAATCTCCTCAACCTCGCTTTTTGTAATGGGTAAGAGTAGGGCATAGGCATGACGACGTTATCCAGTCCATCATCTCAGAAACTGGAGCTGCCGCCCTCTCGTTCTTGCCCTAATTCTCTCTTCCTTGTCACCCCCTGTCGCTTCCTCAATGGGCTGACGTGGGAGGGCCACACCAATTCTCTAAGACTCCCGCAGACAACTGTCATCTTCACGTCTTGGTTTGGAAACCCCCTTATACAGCCACTGGGGTTGAATAAACTCACATCGACACAACCCCCAGGCAAACTTTCACTATGAGAATCCTCGCCAGCCATTTTTATTTAATTTTAAATAACACGAGTATTTATTTTTGCACATACACACGTATTTGTAAAAGGCTGCTTTCTCATCTTAGTAAAAATCCATCGTAACAATAAATATTCCTCTGCAGTTCAGTAGCCGCTGAGTCTCTGATTACACACATGCATCATCAGGTGCCTAACCAGTAGACGGTCAAATATCTATGCTTAAACATATATATCCCACTGTTTTAAATGACTGTAGGGATAGTCATTGCACACAGCTTTGTGCATACCCATAACTATTTCCACAGCAGGAAGTCTGAGAGTGGCCTTGATTAACCAAGGGCATTTTTATAGTTTTTGGTGCCTGTTGCTTTATATCAGTCCAGGAAGGTCCTATGACTACCGGTGGGCTGAGCGTCTCCAATTCTCGGAGCTTAGGGCTCCTCACACCCTCTTCTGTTGGTGGAGGTGACAGTGATCGTGGTTTCATTTTGCTTTTAACTTTCAGAGAAACGTCCTGGTCCTCACTATCAGCATCTCGTGGATGCCAAGAGCAGAGGCTAAGGTCTTACTTATCTTGCTCTGCCACAGAGAGGACCACAGAGCATGGGTGCTGGGCCGTCTGTGGATAATGTCTCCAAAAACAGGGCCTCGGCCGGCCCTCAGAACCTGGCCCCCGGCTGCTCATCACAGTTGCGAACACAAACTTCAGTCCCTGCAAACCAGGCTCCAGCCCGAGGCCTGAGCACAGGACCCGCTTCAGTGCACGTCCGCTGAGTGAATGAAAAGACAGCTTTATTATATTGATAGCTTCTTCAGAGTATTAGGAGAAAGATTAAAACCAGGTGGTTCCTGGAATTAGGAATGTTTTGACAAAAACCCCAATGACCTGCATCAAAACCATGCCGTATCTTATTTTCTCATGATTCGGCACTTCCAAACCTGAGTTTCCTTTCCCTCACCAGACAAAAAAGGAAGGACATTTTACGTCAACCAGGTCAGGGAGACAAGGAGCCTCCCACATTATGCTAACATCCGCCGCAGAGCAGAAATCTAACGCACGGCGCATCAGACGGGGTAAAACCTCTGGAGAGCAGATCCAGACGGCACGTTGAGGCGCGCAGCTCAGAGCCAGCATGTCCGTTACAAAATCCTGTAAGCCAAAGCCGTGGCAAAGTGAATAAATAACTCATAATTAAGTTGTTGTCCCCCTCTTATTCCAGGAAGATGATTTTTAAATTAAATTGTACATGTAGATGTGAGGGAGTTATGCCACCGGCGACGTTAACCAGTCTGGAATTTACAAACGATTCCCTACACCCCCGTCCATTTTTCTGCCCTTACCCGAATTTCAGTATTTTCCATTGTGTTGTCATCATTATTACTATTGCTTTTTAGGGAAAAGACTCTCCCCTAAGAATCTTAGAATTATAAATATCAGAGTTAAAAACACGCTAAAGAATAATCTAGCCCATACCCCCTAATTTTAAAAATAATTTAAAAAATATTTTAAAAATAAAGAAACTGCACCTCAGAGAACTTATACATGGCAGAACCCAAGATTTGGAAATAATGACTTAATTCCATCTTCTCTCACAGCTTTGCTTTTATATCATTTATAAATAACCGCCCTTTATTAGAGGAATATGAAAGCATGAAACACACTGGCCATTTGTCCTTAGGAAGGGAACTTTATAGTGTCAGTTTATGTCGGGTGAATCTTACAGAAACACAAAGCTAACTTTTGTCATAAAATTAGATAATGTCATTTAGACATTAGAAGACAGCACAATTGAATCTTGGAGCCAAAAGGATTTTAAGTATTTTCCAGTACAACCGCTTTTCCGTGAGGTAACCAAAGACCGCGGAGGTGTGACATATAAGGCCACCCAGTCAGAAGGGCAGAGACAGGATTTCATAACTCCTGGCTCAAGGGTCTTTCCACCACATCAAGCTGGCTTTTATATTACAGTCTGCTACAGCCTCTGGTATTTTTAACTCATAAAAATCTCAGGTGTTATAAAATAGCAACTCCTGACCCGCTCAGTTTCGAAGGCTGCGCTACGCCCTCCTGTGTTCCCGGTCTCCTTCCACGGTTTAAGGGTAATCTTTTCCCTCTGAGTCTAGTAGGTCCATTGATTTCAAAAGGTAAGACAAAAAAACCACAGCCATGGCGCCTTATGGCAGAAGACGAATTAAGTCCTGATCAGCCAAATAACAGTGAGGACAGAGGCATCCTTGTCCCTAATGACCAAGTGAAACCTGCCCTTTTCACGCCTTCCTGCTGCCTCTGGCATCTGTTGGAATCTCTCCGGCCAGGCTGCACTGACGGAGGACTGGGTTTGCCCACAGCTCATCTATCTGAGGGCTAATAGCCTTAAACCAAAGCCTCCTGGGGTCACGTCCCTCGGGGGTACAGCATCGGCATCATCCTCGGCCACTACCTGTGAGACTTAATTTCGCTGTGCTCCTCTCTGGCTCTCGGTTTGCTCACAGGTAAAATAGCGGAGTTCTCTCCAGCCCGACAACAATACGGCCTATGAGTGAAGGGGCCTTTACTTTCCTAAAGGGAAGGAGGGGTGAACCCAGGTGGCCTCCTGATTCGCTGTGTGTGGGTCCTGACCCTTCTGTCTCTGTCCCTCACCAGCAGGCCAGTCAGCCTGTGGGGTGGGGCCACATTGAGAATGGGTGGGAGAATGTTTGAGCGGAAAGACTGTTCTCCCAGGAACACCCGGGGGCGTGGTGGGAACAGACACTGCTGGGGAACAAGACAGGACGGGCAAAAGGCAGAGAAAGCCGAGATGCTCAGGAGCAGAGTGGGGGATGCGGGAAGAAGGCTGACTCCCTGCCTCCTATGAGATAAGGCTCCATCCTAGATCCCGTCCTGCCAGGCCGGGTGTGAGGGAGGCCCACAAACGCTGGATGAGACGCCATCAATAAATCCTCCATGGCTTCGTTACACTGATTTGGGGCAGCCCTTAACAAAGGGCTGCAGCAGTCTACCCAAAGGAGGGAGCACACAGCGAAACCATAAAAACCCCTCCTGCGTGCTCTCCTGGAAGACCTGTCGGCGTCACGGTCTCCGCCTGCACGGCAGTGAGGCACCCACCTCACCCTGAGACCACCCGCCGGAGCCGAATCGTAAACATCACCTCCTGCTGTTGCCAAGCTTGGCTAGCCGTTGTCTACCTCATGGCATCATTTAGGCCCTGATACCGCACAACTCGAGGGGGCACACTTCACATCTGTGGTCACCAAAAACCTGCATGTTTATCATGACAATTTTCTGGCAGGTGACAGCACAGGTTCTGAAGAAAGGACAGCAAAAGGATCACGTGGACCAGTGGCAGGGCTGCCCACTCCAAACCCACAGAAAAGCACGGGATCAGCACACATAACACCCAACTTACGCTCATGTTACCCGAGGTCCACGTTAGCTGAAACGTGGTGATGTCGCCATAGCCTGATTCAGGGTCCCTAGATCTTGCACTATTGTTATCAAGACAACCTTAAAAGAGTCAAAATACCAATGAAATGTGAGACCCCCTAAGAATAAAAGTCTGTGTTCCAGCAGTGGTCACCTGCAGAAATTCCACTATTAGTACCGAAAGTCTTGAGAACACAGCACCCCCCTCCCAGCTCACGGGGGCTTCTTGAGCGCTGAGGCCTCAGAGGAGACATGACCTTCCCAGGGGTGGCCATGCCACCATTAGAAAAGGGGGAGACTCAATCCGGGATCCAAAACCCTGCTAAAGGCAGTGTTCACACGTGTGGCACGAATCTGGAGCATTTCAGAAGGTTCAGTGAAGAAGCGGAGCAGCAGTGAGGATAAGAATGAGCTCCCATCTGTGCTTCATCTAAACAGGTCACACTGAAGGACCCTGTAGTGATTAATTCTCCTCAGTCTCAAAACTGGACTCTAGTTTTGACGTTCTCTTTTTTTTTTTTCCCCCCAAGATTTTATTTTTTTCCTTTTTCTCTCCAAAGCCCCCAGGTACATAGTTGTATATTCTCTGCTGTGGGTCCTTCTAGTTGTGGCATGTGGGACGCTGCCTCAGCGTGGCTTGATGAGCAGTGCCATGTCCGTGCCCAGGACTCGAACCAACGAAACACTGGGCCGCCTGCAGCGGAGCGCGCGAACCCAACCACTCAACCACGGGGCCAGCCGCAGATGATGACGTTCTCTTTTTTAAAGTCAGGTTATTGAGGTACAGTTTACAGTAAGAGAGTAAATTTTACCCTTTTAGTGCACAATTCTCTGGGTTGGAAAAACCCATGAAATCTGTAACTAACATCACAATCAAGATATAAAACAGTTTTGTCACCCCAAAATTCCCTCACGCCCCTTTACAATCAGCCCCTAACCCTAGCTCCTGGCTACCACTGATATGATAAAACCAGACTGTATTGTAATACAGATTTCAGACTGTTTAGACTTCCCCTTAAATACTCACCATATTTCACCGATTCTGACGGACACATACGCTCTCACACAAACACACACACTTAGATTTGAACACTCTGAAATTAGAATGCGTCTGACAATCAGTAGCATTTTACCAGCATAATTGGCAACAATTTTTCTTTTTAGAGATACATAAAATAATGTTGTGTCTCATGACCTATGGTGCCTGTAAAAAAATCAATGAAGTGTAACATTGTCTGTTATTTCACAACATTCACTGAATACTTACTATGTGCTAAGCATTCTACTAGGTACTAGAAATATGAAAACAGCCCGTTCCTCAAGGAACCACCACTTGATGGGGAGATAGGTAAACAATTATGATATAATGAGATAATGTCTATAGCAGAGGGTCATCCACTCACTAGGACTAAATACAATTATCGCCAGGTTGCCCACCCTTCTTCTTTCAGGCAAAATTCCCCCCAATGCACATCCTTCCAGATACACAGGAAATGGGCTGAAGGGGGGACCACTCAGCTTCACTCTGCTCAATCCAGGAACCATGTCCACACCATGTGACACATCGCCCAGGAACCATCCAATTATTCCTTCCACAACCGCTGTGGGGTAGGGAAGTCTCATTTTAGTGCTCAACAGCTGCAAGGCTGTATGATAATATCAAAAGACAAGTCACTGAAAATAGCTGCTCAGTCTGTGAAGGGCTGATGCCCCAAATCTTCCACAGACATGCTTCAAGGTCCCCACATTCCTCCCGGGACAGTTTTCAAAGGGGACATAGAGAAGAAAAGTTGGTACTCTTACCTGGCTCCTGAAAGTGCTCTTCATTCGACAGAGTTCTAGACAAGATAAGTATTAATGCTTCTTTAAATTGGTCAAAATGCACCTAAAAGTAAACAATTAAAAATCAGTTCAAAATAGTTTCCACAGCCTTAAGGAAATGAGTCCATCTATAAGGTACCAGAACCATCTGTCAGCATCCTGCTTTTCTTCCCCGTTCCCTTCATTTCTCCAAGGCAGTGAAGGAGAATGGGCTGATGGTTTGTGACACCCAGAGTCATAAACACTAACATCAATGTCAATATGTATTCGACCCTGAGGGGACAACTGCATAGCAAACCCTCTTAATAAACTCAGAAGAAGGGACGTTTTGAACTCTTAGCTCCTTCTATTTCTCTGAACTAGACCAGAAGAGAAAGATGCTAGGTTAGATATCAGGAAAGACTTCACCAGTAAACATCCATCGTAACAATGCCCCGAAGATGCTTTCATCGGTCAAGATATTCCAGAAGACAGTAAGCTGTTTCTGAGGATGACTTGAATACAGTCTTGTCTGAGGCAGCTTTACGATATTTATATCCCAAGACCCCTAGGATTCTATAAACCAGCAGAAATCGATAGGAAACACAAAACATAAAGCAACCTTGGGAAGCACTTTCCTGAACTGTTTAAGATAGAATAAGCTTGACTGAGGTAGGAAAGAACCTGAGTTTTACTGAAGTAAATACTCTACTAGAATTGGGATATTACTTTCGCTGACGAGGTGAAACGGTTTCCTTTTGGCCTAATACACTCTTCTGTAACTTAAATTTAGGTGATCTCACCGTGGGGCAGAAGGGAGAGATGGTACTTCTCATTACAGTTCTAGTTTGATAACATGGGATCTGATTATCCAGAAGCCCATAGATAAATGAAAAGTTACTGAATTTGTAATTCGTGCTGCCATGGGTCTCTTTGGACATCATTACAAAACATTGCCTAGAGGTTTAAATATAGGTGACAGATAAAAACCACTCCCAAATTAAATGTGGAAAAGCAGCCGACCTCATTAGTTATTTAAAAGATGGAGGAAAGAACCACAGTCTCATCTGTGCAAAGCGATGCCCAGGAGAGGAGCCCACCGAGATTCCTACGCCCTAACATCCTGAATGCCTGCAATTCACCACACTCTGCCACATTCGTTTTGATTACTTGAAATTACTTTCCAAAATCATATTCCTTTATGATTTGGGCTAAAAACCAGCACAATCTATGGAACCAGAGCAGAAGTCTGTCAGGGAGACAGGGCACCTGCTAAAGAGCCAGGGCTGTTCAGTCAGGAAAAGGACCAAAAGATGGTAGAAACGGGAGCTGTGCTCATTAGGTGCCGCAGCTGACAAACCACCGAGCAGCCTGGCGGAGGGAGAAACGCCAGGTCCCGCTGTTGTCCCACAGTCAGGGCGGGCTTTGCGTGCGGTGGCAGCCCAGCTCCAGCTCCCAGGGGCCAGGCCATCTTCCCAACCAGCCAGCCCACACTCGGCTCTCCTGGGGCTCTCCACTCGGGGGTTCTCCCGGGCACTGACTCCTTCCTACCCAAGTCCTGCCTCCCTCCCGCTGGGCGGTGGGCATTGGAGCACAGGCTCTGCGCAGGAGCCGGCTGGGCCCAGCCACTCACCCCCTGCTGTGAACAGGCTAAATAAACTACTAAACCTCTCGGAGCTTTAGTTTGCTCATCGGTATAAAAGGGGATCTCTAATAACAAACATCTATGATTCAGTCAATGAACATTTATTGAGCACTGCTGTGTGCCAGGCACCAGCCCAGGCCCAGTGAACGAGAGCGACAAGGACCCCTGATGCACGGAGCTCGTACTCTGGGGAAACGTCGCAGGGAGTCAGGCAGGTACTGTGCCAGGAGAATGGCACGTACTTTCTGATATTTATAGGACCACCTCCCTCACAGCAGTGTCAGGGAGATAAAATGTCAAGTGTGTAGAGCTTGCTGGCACTTGTGAGGTGCTCAGCGAGCAGCAGGTAATACAGCTCACAGGAGCAGTAATGGGGTCGGCTGTTCTCACCACCTCTACAGAGAAACACGGCCACATTTTCAAGCAAAGCAACTGGCCCCAGAGTGGCCAGACAGCCATGGGGGACAGTGGGGGTGACAGCGGAGGCCTGGGAGCCCACTCTCCCCCAGGATCGGCGCCGCCTCCAGCGTCAGAGAAGGATCCAGTCTGCTGTGTTTGGGGAGCCCACTCCGGTTCTCCTCCTTCCTGGGACAGTAATGAGACGACCTGAGTGAACCTAAGTCCCTCTTGGCCCCGTCACGAGCCGAACAGGGAGAGGCTCCTGCTCCCAAGGGGGCACTTGCCTCGAGACGCTCAAATGCCTGAGGCTTGACTCCGTGGGTCTCCACCGGGTCTTCTAAGGATGCAGTCTTGATAGAGGTCATTGGAAAGAGCCCTTCGAATTGAGTCCCAACAGTTCAATTCAGGGAGCACCAGCCATGAAGGTCACCCAAGGGTCTGTGTGTGTCTCCCCTTGAAAAATGACAAAGACACCTGCAATCTGGACGTGGCTTACAGTCAGTTCCAAGATTTGGCCGCACCGCATTCACAGGACACTTAGGCCTCATACGGGCACACGGCTTCCGAGACAGTGTAACCTCACTCATGTGGAGGCTGCTCACCTCCCAGCTTCAATGGTCTAGAGGCCAGCAGACGACCAGCAAACAGACAAGAGACGTGCCAGGCCGAGGAGGGTGTCCTGAGCCCTCACACTCTCCTCACAGAGAACTCCCCAGAGCCAACTGGGGCTGCTCATTTCATTCTACTGGTTTATTCTAAGCATCGCCATTCCGCTTCCCAAACCACTGCCAACCAGCGGCAGCAAACAGAAGACGGCACACGTGGGGATGGAGCGAGGACACCCACCGCCCTCGCTCAAAACAGCAAGGGAGAACCTTCTTCAAAAACTGTTTTTAAAAACTGTATAAACTATAAAAAAGACACATGCACTCAAAACCTACTCCTCTGGGGTTATTTAGTGTTGAGGCAAGGATCCACGTGCTGCTAAATAAATCCTGAGGGTATCGCTCTTAAAATATAAAGAATAACTGATAGAACAAGAGGACTTTAAATGGTCAAGAACAACCTTACGACATTTAATATACTCTTTGATAGGGCAAAACATTAGTAAAATTTTTTTCAATCCCCAATGGTTAACCTTTTTTTGTTTTTTAAGTCTGCCACTAAATGGAGTAAGAGATCCAGTTATCAGCATGAGTGTGGGTCCTGGACGACACTGGGGAACTGCGCGTTGCTGCAGGTTCATTCTTTCCTGGACACTCGGTCACTCGGATCTCACCACATCCATGGGAGACGGTCAAGGCAGGCATCCCTCTGGAATTGAGGAAAGAGGGTCAGGGAAGGCATGTGCCTTGCCCAAGGCCACACGTCTCCAAGCGACGGGGTTCCGTGGAGAACCCAGACCTTCTGAGTGGATCTCAAAGCCCAGCAGCCGGGCCCGCCCCGGCCCCGCTTCCCTCCAGGCCTGACCGCCAGGAAACCCCTCTGCTCCAAGTCAAAGCCACAGGGTTCAAAGCAGTACGGGGGCTTCCGGGGAAACATAACCTCTGCCCTCAGGGAGTGTGTCAGCCACACTCCAGGTTCTAGAGGGTGGGAGGGTGGAACGGGGAAGGAGAGGGCAAGCGGACGCGTGGCTACAAGGCAGGATCTGGAAAGTGCTCGGAGAGAGACAGCCAGCCAGTAGGGGCTGCTAATAAATGAGCAACTCCTATTTGGCCGGCAGGGAGGAAAATGCGGACAGTTTTGTGACATTTGACTTCTCCAAGATACTCACAGGCAGAGCTTAAAGGTTTCCAAAATGGACTCATGATGTATAACATCAACCACATTTTAGAAGAAAAACGGTCTATGAAAGACTCACCATGATTGTCAACTCAGAGCTTCTTCATAACACGACCATGTCTATCTGGGCGGCCCTTCTTCCCTCTCCCCTCACCCCGAAAACATCTAAAAATCTGAAAACAAAAACCTGGCAAGCAGAACAAAAAACTGGAGCAGCTTTAAGTCTTAAATTGATCTTTATTTTCCTTCTTGCAACGGCATAGAGACCCTGGACCCTCCGCGTTAAACGGCAGTAAATTCCACGTCTTTCAAGAAGCTAGTTCCCTAACAGACGCAGGTGATGCGATTTTCCTTTGATTCTCATGAATACTGATGTGGCAGAAAAGCCCCTTAGGGCACAACCCAGAACCGAAAAAGAAACGTTAATAAATGCTCTCTATTGTGAAGAAACGGCATCAGCGGGCTCACTAAGTTCAGCAGCTGGAATTTTTAAGCACCATTTTTCTCCTCCAAGGGAGCTTTACTATTGTGTTGTGTTGAAATTTAGAAATCTTCGCAAACATACAAGGCAATTAAGTCTCACAAGGTAACAAGCTTCTGTGCCGAGCTGCACACACCCCGGTTGGTAGCTCCTCATCTGAATAATTGCTGCCATTCATTTTACAAGCACTCCTCTAGCCTGCAGGCCTCCCAGGGCAGTTTGTAGAAATGGGAAAATTACATGACTGACTAAAAACACACATGACATTTACACTAAATTAACAGGAAGACTAGTCAAGTCTGATATTTTTTGTCATGTGTCACCACCACTTAATAGAAATTTACCTCATCACTTTTCCTCTCCAAATTTCATATGAATGCTTTTTTAGAAACACAATTTGCCTTTCTGAAAAAAAGAATTGAAGTACCACACAAAAAACGAATGCTATTTCAAACCACAAAAAAACCTGCAACAGGAAGTGGAATAAGGAACCTGACGTTGCATAAAATCCTCTCGTGCAACCGTGGAGACGACGTGCACAGTTTCCACACGGCGCAGCAGCCCTCCAACACCCCCGAGAGAGCGCTCAAGCTGGCGCTCATCGAAGCCAGCTTCCTCAACAAGACAAAGGCCTGTGTGACTGTGATCACACTTAGGGGGTTTGTATCTAGCAATTCAAAGGGAAATAGAGGAAAGACATTCAAAACATTGTGTTAGTTGAAATGGGAGTAGGAATACGGAGTCACTGGAAGGTCAATGTACAGGAAAATAATGTCTA